CTTGCTGAGTCGGGACTCAAAAGCCAAGGAGGTTGAAGATTTAGAACTCTTCATGCCAGCAGAGGCCGTGGGGAGGGGCCGCACACGGTCTGGGCCATGGCTCCCCACTCTGATGGCTGGACTCCAGGGTTTGGCCGCACTCCTCATGTTTGTCCTCGTGGGTCTGTCCTTCTGTAGAAGAGCAGAGAAGAAAAACATGTGTCTCCATAACCTGAACCTGATGAGTGATGTCACAAAGCTTCATCCCATATACCACAGTCACCATTGCCATCACAGAGAAGGAGCACTTAACACTCTGCTGGAAATAGGAATAGAATATCCTAAAATGAGAGCTTTCTACTAGGCTAATTTTGACAACTCCACAACAGCATTTACCAAAGTATTGAAACACACTTGCAGTATTAATGATGTTCTGACATTACTTTTCAGCAAAATAATAGCTTCCTCTTGGCAAGGACACCTAAAACAGCATTAGACCATATACTAATATACTCATACTCTCTCACTCTCCCTCTCTCCATATATATGTGTCACATCCATATAAAACAACTCAGCTTGAGTCAAGACACAAAATGTCCATAAGCTTTGCAGCTTTAGGATTGACAAAGGAAAAACCTACCTAATTTTTAAATAGACATAAATGAATTATTTGAAAATCAGATTTTACAGAAGCATAAAATGACTTTTTTCTTTTGAATGAAAATGGATATCATTTAAAAATTAATAAAGCCTATTTGGATTGGTCAGACCTAACATTATAGGGCAGAGTGACTGCCCTAACTACAATATTTAATGAAAGAAAAATTGTTCACACTTGCAGGATGCAGCTAAAGAACTAAGGGGGAAGCCGCACATGCAGACACGGAAGGCAGCCCAGGTCTGGGGGTCAGGCATCAGAGCTGTCATTCCTCAGTGAGGAGCAGTCAGGCCCATCCCTTACCCTCCCCGTGCCTCTGTTTTTTCCATCAGTAACATAAAACAGGACTGAACTAAATGCCCTCTCGGGTCTCATCCTGCTCCAACCCAGATTCTGCCTGTCTCTATGGACTCTAATGGCCACAGGTGTAACACAGGGCACCAAAATCGCAATGCTCTATCCTTTCAAAGAATACCAAAAATATACTCTGAAAAACACCCACAGGTGACAACCAATTCCAGCAGCACTGCCATGGGCACAGGGGTCTGATCAGTTGCCCCTGGTGATGGCAGCTGGTACTAAGCATCCCTGGCCGCCTCTCCCCCTGCTGCATCCCTTTAACTATCATGAGAAAGACTGCTAAGCCTTGGCAGCCTGTGACCTCCTCTTTGTCTCCTTTCCTGGCTGGAGACCATTTCTTCTGATGACATCCCTCTGCAAGCGCCATCTATCTAGTTCCTGTTCCTATTTAAACAAAGTGACGGGCCAGTGGCAAGTGCGCCAGCACCTGCTGGAACTCATCCCAGCTGTGACTGCAGCAGCTATGTGAATGTGGCTACTGGTGAAAATATTCTTTTTTAAAGACTTTGTAATTTGTTTTCCCTAGTTTTCTAGGAAAAACTATTCATGATTTCAACTATACGATTAGTTCAGAATCTTACAAGGTTCCAGGTATCATAATTAAAAAAAAATTCTGTATTTAAAGAACCAACTTAATTCTCATGTATTTTATTGATGTTCAGCAACGATTATTTTTCTTTCTCAAGCCACAATTTTTATTGCTGGTTTCCACAGCAATGATGAAAGAATGCCTAGGTTAAAACCTACACAATAACTAATTTCTTTTTTTTGTTTTTTTTACATTTTTACATCTTTATTATTTATAATTTATTTAAGTCTTTTAAATTTGCTAGGACTGATGCTCTTTCAAAACAGTAACTAATTTCATTAGGACTCCCTCCCAATAGCAAGTGAACTAACAAAGACTCTTGAAGAGAATTACTGATGAACCGTACCAATTACTACAGAACCAACCAGCAACGAAAGCATCAGTCTGACTCACAGAGATGACTTAAATAAAATACCTGTTTAATCAATGCACCCTTTTATGTTAGGATTAGAACTGCTTTGAAATGACTATTACAGGGTTTACTTTATGAAAACATAATATGGTTTTTCAATGTGTCCACATTTTCTAAAATCTGCCCAGGTTACCCTGAAAGGAAATGCCTTTTATTCACTACCCATCAAAAGATAAAAATGGGGAGATGAAATGCAGCAGAAAGAAGATGGAAATTTTCCTTGCCAATCTAAGTCCTTGATTAAAAAAAAGAAGAAGAAAAGAAAGAAAGAAAGAAAAGCCATCTCAGTCAAAACTCAAGGATCTAAAACTCCTCTCTTCAATCTCCGGCAACAAGTCTGACGGCCCTCTGGCCAGTGCGCCTGACAAACGAGGGCCCTCCTGGGGCCACGAGCTGCTGGCTCAGAGGCAGCATTCTCCGGTCACTGCGTCCGTCCTGTCAGGCCTCTTTATTCTCCTAGTACTTTCCCATTACTGTTTCTCCCGGACTAAACCTTTCATTTTGTACCCATTCGCCAGCCTGATTCTTAACTTCAAATCCCATCTTCTTTCAAAGTTTAAAATATACAATAATGAAGGTATCGATGTCCTACTCGCTGTCACCAGGAAAAGAAGTCTACAGGTGGCGAAAGAGCCCGGTTGGATGCCTGGGAGCAGCCCCAGGCCGCCAAGCCATGGAGCGGTGACAGACCTGCAGCATCACCCCAGACAAGAGGAGGAGAACGGGTATGGGAGGAGGCAGAGGAGCTCCTACACTCTGGTCAGACTGAATGCGGCTGTGCTCCCTGCTCCCCAGGCTCCACATGTAGGACCATATTAAACATTGCCCCTCCCCACTTTGGCCCTGCCCTCTGTCCACCTGCAGGAAGGCCTTCTGCAGGGCAGGGAGCTGGAGCACACCTAGGTCCACCCCGAGCTTTCTGCAAGCTTCCTCCCAACCCACATCCAATGGCTCCTTCTACTATCCTCTCACCTCCTCGCCTTGGCCTGGCTCTCTGAAAGAGCGAGCCAGTCACTTACATAAACATTGTGTCATGACGGGGCAGAAGCTGCACTATCCCACTCAGAGCCCAGCAAGGCACTGCCAGATGTTCTCTGTGGATGGTCATTAAATCCTCACTGTAACCCTACAAGGAAATGTTACCTCCTGCCATGGTCTGAATGTTTGTGTCCCCCAGAATTCACATGTTGAAACCTAATCCCCAATGTGGTGGCTCACAAGGTGGGACATCTGGGAGATGACTGGTCCATGAGGGCAGAACCTTCATGGATGAGATCAGGGCCCATATAAAAGGCCTAAGGATGCTCGTTCTCCTCTTCCACCAAGTGAGGACACCACAAGAAGGCTGTCTATGAGCCAGAGTAAGCCTTCACCAGACATGGAATCTGGTGGCACCTTGATCTTGGACTTGCAGCCTCCAGAACTGTGAGCAATAAATTGCTATTGTTTATAAGCCAACCAATCTACAGTATTTCCATTTTAGCAACCCAAGCAGACTAAGATATTTTACAGATGGGGAAACCTCCTTCATTTCAGGAGTTAAGTGACTTGCCCAAATCACAGAGTTTATCATGGAGCCAAGATTCAAACCCAGTTTAAACTGGCTCCAAAACCTACATGCCTAAACACCAGGGATGGATGGGCTCTCTGAATGATCTTTGCTCTCTTAGGAAAGCACAAGGACTTGTGGACCAAATGCTCCTGGTCTGAACCCAGCTCCACTGTGGACTGTGTGAACCTGGGCATGCTTTTTGAACATGATGATTCTCAACATCTTCACCCAATAAGATGGAGTTATAAATGCCATCTTCACAAAACCATGACAATTAAGGTAAACAGGTATATCAAGCACTGGGCACACGGAAGGCTATCAACAGCTCAGAGCTGCCTTCCTGACAGACTGTTGATTGTGTTAAGCAGAGGGCTGGTCTACTTCATGAACTCAGCAACACACAGAGACGGACGGGTTCAGCAGCAGGAGGTAGACAGACGCACCGAATTTGAGGAGGGTGGTCTTCTTATACACAGAGAAGCCTATTTTCATTTGGAAACGTGAAAGAGGAAAATGCATACCTTATAGTCATTAGAATTGTTCCTGCCTTAAATCCGGGCTGATGAAAGATGAACCCAGGTGAGAACGCTGGTTTTCTTATGGATATGAATGAGTCATATAAAACAAATAGATGGGCTCTGGCCAAGCATGAGACAGTTAAAAAAAAAAAAAAGGTTTCTATTATTAATTCCTTGATTTCTTAAAAATATTCATAAACATCACCCAGGATCAAATTGATCAAGGAATTACAGTTAAATCTGGGAGCCCACTCCAGTGGTGGGACGGGTTTGTCTTTCCAAGGATGTTTAATTTCTCAAACATTTTCTTATTAAGCTTCTCTCCTCTCCAGAATAGTGTAAGACATACATTTAAACTGCAACTCGTAAATTTGCAGTGTGAAGAAAGGAGGGAGGAACAAAAGGGGGGGAGAGGCGACAGCTATGCTAGGAATACAATTAGCTGCCTGGGCACCAGGGAAAGTTGGGCCACACACATCTGCTCCCTCCAAACCACACCGTCAGAGGGACCTCGGCTTTATTACCCTTTTAAGGCCAGAAAGCAGAAAGGCAATCGGAAAACCACTCTGGGCAATGAGAAATTAATCGTGAGTCTCTGAGAGTGGGAGAGGGCATTCCGGTCACCACCACAAACACAGTAAGCACTAGGAAGCGGAAGGCTGAAGCATTCAAGTCTGTGAACTAGCAAAATAAGAATGTGCACATAGCTCAATTGCCATGGGACTCGGCAGGAAACAGAACCTAAGTGAACAACATGTTGAAAATACCAAGCTAGGGCTTTTTAGAGCAGGGGCTGAGTTTGCTCCTGACTCCTCCTGCAGTGGTGGAGGGTCTGCTCCAGGGGACATGCGGACATATGGGGACGTGTGGCGGCACTGGCAGCTGTCACAACTCAGGGTGCCACTGGGTAGAGGCCAGAGATGCTGCTAGACACCCTATAACCCGAAAGGCAGCCATACAACAAAGAAGCATCGGGCCCAACATGCCAGCAGTGCCCAGGTCGAGAGACTCTGTTGTGGAGGAAGAATGAGAGCCCCAGATGCTGGTCCACAGACCAACCAGCACACGATGCATCCGCTTAGTTTCCCATTTAGCGTGGAAACGATTCACACTAAAAACTGGGCTCAGTGCCAGCTGAGGGAATCCCAGACTTCAGCAAGTGGCCACAGGAAATGCTTCAAAGCTGATTATTTTCCCGTAGTCTTGAGATGAAAAATCATCCCAATAGCCTTAGATTCCTTTCTTGTACGTAAGGGAACATTTCCATGCAGCACCAGAAGAAAAACTACAAATTAAAATTCACTGAGCCCATCAGCAGAAGTCACTAGAAGAAAACAAGAACCAAGAAGTGATAAAACAAAAACTAAACGGAAAAGAACATTAGTACGTCATTAATCACACCACCTCAAAACTGAAGACAAACTCTGATGGTGGAATAAGAACTTGCAGAAACTATGGGATGCTGCCAGAAGGCGGGACCCCATGAGGAACAGGGTGTAATCTGGAATGAGAAAAGTAGGCTGAGGCAGGTCCCAAATACGAAACCCAGACCCAAGAGAGAACCTGTAATCTGGACACTGTATTAAGACCAACAGCTCAGAATCTCTGGTCTGTGACATCCTTCTGTCTCCAAAGTTGGCTCGAGCACCGCTGTCCCAAAGAGGGGGATAGCCACCGATCAGTACTTACACCCTACTGATAATGTGGCTTCACATCAAAGAATTAAAAGTGAATGAGCCGGCCGGGCGTGGTGGCTCACACCTGTAATCCTAGCACTTTGGGAGGCCGAGGCGGGCGGATTGCTCAAGGTCAGGAGTTCGAAACCAGCCTGAGCGAGACCCTGTCTCTACCAAAAATAGAAATAAATTAATTGACCAACTAAAAATATATATACAAAAAAAAAATTAGCCGGGCATGGTGGTGCATGCCTGTAGTCCCAGCTACTCGGGAGGCTGAGGCAGTAGGATCGCTGAGTCCCGGAGATTGAGGTTGCTGTGAGCCAGGCTGATGCCACGGCACTCACTCTAGCCTGGGCAACAAAGTGAGACTCTGTCTCAAAAAAAAACAAACAAACAAACAAAAAAAAGCGAATGAGCCAAGGCAGTAGAAAAAAGAGATGGAAATAAATAAAATACCTCAAGAGCCCTTTATTTAGGAATAGTTTTAAAGAGTCTATTACATAATAACTAAAAACTGCAGTACAGGAGGGAACTGGAGACTTTCCTGCCTGTTTAGGCGGCAGCGTCTTGAGCTATTTTTATTGAGTCCTGGTTCTAGGCCTTTGCACATGCTACTGCCTCTGCCTGGGGCGCCGGGTGGGAAACAGGGCAGCTGAGAAGGGAAGCGTTCACAGGGTATGGGCAGGTTTTGAAAGAGCAAAAGGGAAGGTGCAGAACCACAGGACTAGCACCCTTATCACCCCAAGGCCTGCCAGGGATGGGGAGGAAGAAGCTAGAACCCCCAGGGAGCTGGACGGAGATTCAGGAGCTGTGGCCTTCAGTGAGGAAACACAACCAGCCTGTGGAGACTCGGTGGGGAGGAGCAGGGGGAAGAAAAGCCTCAAGCTCATTCTGACAGCCAGCACTGCCCACTGGCTCAGGGAGCCATGGGGCATGGATGCAGTGGCAGGTCACCTCCCCACCCCCCAGCACACAGCTGGTGGAGGGAGACAGAGAGGGCATGTGGAGGGACAGACAGGAAGCCCAGGATGAGCACTCAGTTCTCTAAGCCCAGCTAACTTCAACACCAGCTTCCAAAGTGAGCTCAAATCTCTCTGCTCTAGAAAACCTCCCCCTGGTGTAGGAGGGTCTCTGTACAAGGGCTCCTCTCCTTGTCTGTCCACTTACCTGCCTGCCCAGCTGGCCCGTAAGCCCTTTCTGGGGCAGCCTCATGGCACCTGCCTGTACACTGCCAGCCCCAGCCCGGACAGACAGACCCTGAACCACAGCTTCACGCCAACTTCCCCATTTCCATCAGCACCATGGCCTTTCTCTTGCTTGCGCACACTCAGACCTCAAAGTCACCATGGACTCTCCCTAGGGTTCCCGTTTCTCACATTCACAGCTGCCAGGACTGGCAGATTCGACGCCTATGGTTCCCCACAGGGGCCCTGCCTTTCTTTCCAGCACAGACCTGTGCTCAAGTCCCCCCAGAGCTCATCCCTTCCATTTATTCAAGACAGACTTCTGAAAATTCAGCTAGGGTCAGTCATTTGCTGCTCAAAGTCCTTCATTTTACCTTATTTTTAAGCTAAAATTTGTCAACACCGACTACGTGCCAGGCACCGTGTTCAGCGTTTTCCTGTGTTTTCTCTCATGCTCCCAACCACGCTGCAGGGCAGGGAGCTGCTGTCACCGCGTTTCTGCAGCAGCAACAACAACTGGCACGGGTTCACCAACTCCCCAGCAGCACCGCTGCAGGCTGCGCACCTGGCCCTGCTCCCTTGCCCACTGTCTTGGTTCAGGCTGTGGCAGCAAAATACCTCAGGTTGGGTAAACTCTCAACAGTGGAAACTGATTGCTCACGGTTCTGCAGGCTGGAAAGTCCAAGACGGCACCAGCAGATTTGGTCCGGAGAGGGCTCACTCTGCTTCCAAGATGGCGCCTTCTTGCTGTGCCACAAGGCAGAAGGGGCTAAGCAGCTCCCTTGAGCCACTTTTATAAGGGCACTGATCCCCTTCATGAGGGTGGAGCCCTCATGACTTATTTCCCAAAAGCCTCACCTCTTAATATCATCACATTGGGTTTTAGATTCCAACAGATCAATATTTGGGGAGACACCAACATTCGGACCATAGCACCCACCAAATTAAGTGACTGCTTACCTGACCACTTACCCTGCAGTGTGGCCAAACCAGGCTCTTCTCTACCCTTCCAACGAGCCTCCTTGTTCTCATCTTTCGGCATTCACCCAACTGAGACCCTCCCTCTGTGAATGCTCTATCCCCTCCTTTGAGGCTCATGCTAATCAAGACTTCCTTGCAAGGCCTTTCTGATATTCCTACCTCGAAACCTCTAGAAATTCTGCAGCTCTCTTGCGGACCATCTATGTCCACCAGCACCGCCTGCCCCGAGCCTCCCGCGCCTCTCCCCAGCCGCAGCACATCCCCCAGGCAGCCTCTGTGCCTCTGCTCTGTCCCTTCTTGCCCACCACAGTCGATGCCCTCTCGGCTGCCAGAGGGGTCTTTTAAAAACATAAATCACTTAAAAGTGGTTAAGATGGCAAGTTTCATGTTACGTGGCTACCACAAGTAAAAGTTTAAAAATTTGTTTAAATACACACACAGACACAAATCAGATCATGTCATTCGCTACACAGGCCCCTCCAATGGCCTCTCACTGCATTTGGAATAAGAATCTAGGTTATGTCATGGCCCCCAAGGTCATCAGCAGCCTGGCCCTGCCCACTCCCCACCTGGGCTCCAACCGCTCTCCCAGCCCATGGCTGCTTCCAACTCCTGGACCACGCCCAGCTAGCTCCCCAGCTCTGCACTCGCTGCTCCCTGTGCCCAGGAGGTTCCCAGTCCTCACACAGCAGTGGCTCCTGTCTCTGCTGTCTCTGCTCACCTGCACTATCTTTAGGCAGCTTTTTCCTTCCATTCTCTCTGGCAGCTCTCCCACCCCACCTGACAGTCTCCAGTGCATTTCTCCCAAGCCTTTATCCCCTAAGATCATTGCTGCCAGTGATTATCTGTCATTGATTATCTGCCTCCCTCTGCCTCCACGGAAGGTCCATGACAGTGGGGCCTTGGCTCCTTTGTTCACCTGGTATTTCGTGATCAACAGATATTAGTTAATGAATCCTTGGACTCTGCCTTTCACCAAAGACATGCATGTGGGTGTCTCCCTGCCCCTGCCCTACAAGCCAGGAACTCCTACAAAGGTGCATAGGTCCCAGGAAGTAGGTGCTGAATTAACCAGTGAATACAATACAGGACTAGAAAGCAATGACAATCTTTTTCCTGTAAGATTTATAAATGTCTCTAAACAACTGCCAGGAAAAAAAAAGTTCCAAAATTACTTTGATGACAAGAACCCCACTGATATGGATATAGAGCCTTCTAGCATTATTACCTTGAAAACAATAGTTGTGTTGATGTATGTTAGCATCATAAAACTTAATCTCATTAACTCATAGTCATGCTTAAAAAAGAATTCCTAAAATTATTTAACACCAAAATCTCTAAAAATCATCTACTGCTTCATCTAATTTCCTGAATTTATTCCTCAAGGATAACTACTAAAATTTTTGGTATACATTCTAGTTTCACAGTAATAGTAAATAATACTTTACATTTTTATGGTTTAAGATTTAACCACATATCTTAATAAAAACACAATAAATGAATTTCTGCTAGTAGATGCTTCGCAAAGTGGGAGCTAATGGCAATCACAAAATTAGAAAACCAATAATTTAAAGTATCAGGGACTGGATGCGGTGGCTCATGTCTGTAATCCCAGCATTCTGGGAGGTGAGGCAGGAGGATTCCTTGAGGTCAGGAGTTCAAGACCAGCCTGAGGCCAGGTACAGTGGCTCACAGTTGTAATCCTAGCACTCTGGGAGGCCGAAGCAGGAAGATCACTTGAGCTCAGAAGTTCAAGACCAGCCAGAGAAAGAGTGAGACACTGTCTCTACTAAAAATAGAAAAAATTAGCCAGCCAACTAAAAATAGAAACAAAAAATTAGCTGGGCATGGTGGTGCATGCCAGCTACTAAGGAGGCTGAGGCAGGAGGATCGCTTGAGCCCAGGAGTTTGAGATTGCTGTGAGCTAGGCTGATGCGAGGGCACTCTAGCCTGGGGGACAGAGCCAGATTCTCAAAAAAATAAATAAAGTATCAAGTCTGGATACTTTATCTTTTATTCAACCTTTTCTGTTTCTTTGTTCCACATCCCTATGAGGTCAGAGGCAAGGCTGCCAAGGCAACAGGCAGGCCAGTTCTATCTCATTCTGTTCTGTTTCCTCTGGGAACAACGAGAGAACTGCAGGGCACACTGCCCCACCCACCCAGCAAAAGCCTGTACTCTCCACCAACATGCTTCTGGGGCACTTGAGCTACCAAAATCCAGGAGGCAGGGGACACGTCCTCTCCCCCAGTGTGGCGGGCACAGATGCAATAAAGGACCCTGTGTGACAAGAGCCTTGCCCATGGGTGGAGAGGTCTGGCCCTCACCAAGGCCACTGTCCCATCTTGGCTCAATGTCCCTTAACCACACTGGCCTTCCGACCAAAGGAAGATATAAGCAAGGAAGAAGCCAGCACAGCTCTGCAAACCCAGGAAAGGCAGCCTACACATGCCACGTGCCCACCATGTGATATATGACTAGCCGTGTTGCAGATGGGACCTGACAAGAGAAGCCACACAGCATGATCTCATAAGGCCCCTTGCTGAGAAGATGGCTCAACAACTCAGGAAGGTGAGGCCTTGGTGGAAGAATCCCACCCACTCCCCTACTGTGGCATATTTTCCACCCTCACCATGGCAACAAGGCCTCCACAGTGATCGCCATGAGTCATGTCACGTGACCGGACCTCCTCATGTGGCTCCCTTCAATACTTTCAATGCTTTACTTCACTTCTCTTCCCCTCTCACCTGCTCATCTCTGCTGGTTCTTCCCTACTCACCTGCATCCTATGTCACAGGTACGGCACCCTCAGGATGCCAAGGGAGGGGCTCACCTAACAAGCGCCTGAGCTATCTTGACTAGTTTCTGTGTGTGTGTATTGTTGGGGAGACAACCAATTTAATAACAAAAGCAGATTTTGAGCTTGGTAAAAAATAGATCTTTGGCATTTAAGGGGAAAAAACCCAGGGCGCTGGTTCCTTCCTTGCATCCTGCTCAAAAAGGATGGTCTTCTCCTTAGATATGTCACCTGCAGAGTCATATGGTTTCTGATGCATTCACAAAGGACTCCCACCAGGTAGAAACAGATTTTCTACAATGATGACATTATTCTTCAAAGGCAGCCCTAAGTCATGAAAGTTTGAAGAGTTCAGAGTAGTAGGGTCTCAACTGAATCCCAACTACACTGAGTGTTGTGGCCTCAGCACCTTGGGGGGCTGGCTGGGGAGGGCACCCCAGTCTGTCTGAGGAACTAAAGAGCCTCCCAGGACAACTCTCAGCCTGGGGAAGAGAGAGGAGGTAGGAATAAGGCTATGGAGACCACACTGAAAGAAATATTTCCTCAAGAAATGCTAAGGTCTCCCACCCTATTCATCATGCCAACTGGGACTAATTGAAGACCTAGTGCTCTGGCACCTCAGAGATACAAAACACATGGTGGCGGTGGTGCCCAAGGTGCTGGAGGTGGCAGCATGCCAGGGAAGGCTCCCATCTGCAGCCTCAGAAGACACCTATGGAGAGGTGTCCAGGACTCTGGGCAGCAGAGGTCTTCAGCTTCAAGGAAATGATGGCAGCAGCCATCCTAGAAGCACCTGGCCAAGTACAGAAGGTAGAGGTGGCATGGTGGCTGAACCTGTCAATCTATGTTTGCTCCTTGGGGCTACCAGGAAGAAAGGAGGGGAACACAGAACCTGGCTGGAGCTTCTATAGGCACAGAGGATACAGGAACAAAATCTGGATTGTCTCTATGCAGGCCCTAATTCATGCCTGCACTGCCACCGTGGGAGCCTGGGACTGTGGTGGACACCCCTCTGTTGAACACGGAAAGTCTGTCCCTCCGCACACGCTGTGGGAGCCCGGGACTGTGGGGGACACCCCTCTGCTGAACACAGAAAGTCTGTCCCTCCGCACACGCCGTGGGAGCCCGGGACTGTGGGGGACACCCCTCTTTGAACACGGAAAGTCTGTCCCTCCGCACATGCCATGGGAGCCTGCCCCTGCTCAGAGTGCCGTGAGTTCTGGATTTCCTTATTGTTACTAGATTAACTTAAATCACTGAATGCAGCTGATTTCTTTTTTGTTCTCACATTCCTGAAATTTTCTTTTCCAACCCACAGGCTTTAGCTGTTTTCCTGCAATGCCAGCTGGCTAGTGAAAGCAACTGCTGTGCTCACTCCCATGAGCACACTCTGCGGGGTTAGTTTATTCAGTGCCTGGAATATGCCCTATCTTTACTCAGCATCGACGCTTCTCGCTTCTCGTATTGTGTTTTAAATATATACATGACTCATAAATATGAGGGATAATTTTGCAGGCTGCTGCTGGGATTACCTTGTCATTACACATTCCCTATATAGTGCTCAGGGGTAAGTCTACAAGGAACAGCAAGTACAGCAACTGCTACATGTGATCCGTTCTCGGGGTGGGGAAACAGAAACAGTTATGTAACAGCATTTCGGCTACCCTCTAAGAATGGGCTTTTTATGATACAGACATGTCAGGCTTTAGATGAAGAAAGATAGTTCCCTCCTGTCCTTCAAAGAACAAGGCATGAGCCATACCAGAATGCCACCCCCACCTCCTCTTTGTTTCAGGAAAAGGCATACTCAGTGCTCCCTGGCCAGGTCCCTGCTCCCCTCTGACTGCTCCTACCAGTTGCTTTGCACACTGACCCCAGGACAGCAAATGACCAGCAGCCACTGGGAGGCACAGTTCTCTCACCCAGCCTCTAGACCTCCCCAAGGCCACTCTGAATGCAGAATGACAGGCTTCACGTGCCAGATTCCTGCTTTCTACCTACCTCCTACCATCTTGTAAAACTCAGTTTATGTTCCCCTTCTCTGGGGAACAGTCCTTCCTCCCCAACACAGTGAATGTCCACAGCAGTCTGGACTCAGGCTCATCTGCACTCCTTACTCAAGACGAATATTCTGTTTATTTGTCTGACTTCCACCCTACCTTCCCAGCCCAGATGGTCCATGAGTGAAGGACTCCGTCTCATTCCTCTTTGGTTCCGTAGCTGTGAGCCCAGTGTCTGGTCCACAACAAATATCAGTTAAAGATTGATCACAGACCTAAATGTGAAAGCTACAACTAGAAAACTTCTAGAAGAAAACAAGACAAAATCTTTGTGACCTTGAGTTAGGCAAAGATTTATTAGATACAACACCAAAAGTATGATCCATAAAATAACTAAAAAAAAAAAAAAATCCTGATAAATAAGACACTGTCAAAATTTTGAAGACTTCTAGTTTTCAAAAGACATTGTCAAAAAAATGAAAAGACAAGCCACGAGCTGGAAAGGAAGTATCTGCAAAACACAAAACTGATAAAGGACTTGGTTCCTGAATTTATAAAGAACTTACAAAACTCAATAATAACAAATAATAATCATCACAGTAACAAAATGCACAACTCAATAAAAATGGTAAAAGATTTAAATAAACCCTTCACCAAAGAAGATAGTCAATAGGCACATGAAAAGATGCTACACATCATTAGTCATCAAGAAAATATAAATTGATATGCTTGGCATAGTGGCACACGCCCGTAATCCCAGCTGCTCCAGAGGCTGAGGCAGGAGGATCACTTGAAGCCAAGAGTTTAAGGCCACAGTGAGCTATGATCATACCACTGCACTCCAGCCAGCCTGGGTATCACAGCAAGACCCCATCTCTAAAAATAATAAGAAAGAAAATGAAAATACAATTTGAAACCACAGGAGAGATTACTATATAACTATAAGAATGGCTAAAAATTTTTTAAAAACTATCAAGTGCTGTCAAGGATATGGAGCAACTGGAACTCTAATACATTGCTAGTGGAAATGCAAAATGGTACAGCCACTTTGCAAAGCAGTACAGAAGCTTTTCTTTTCTTTTCTTTTCTTTTCTATCTTTTCTTTTGAGACAGGATCTCACTCTGTCACTCAGCTGGAGTATAGTGGTACAATCACAGGTCACTGTAAAACCTTGAACCCCTGAGCTTAACCGATCCTCCTGTCTCAGCCTCTCAAGTAGATGGGACTACAGGCATGTACTATTATGCCCCCTGTCTCACACTATGCTGTCCAGGCTGGTCTCAAACTCCTGGCCTCTAGTGATCGTCCCACCTAGGCCTCCCAAAGTGCTGGGATTATACGTGTGAGCCACTGTGCCCAACCAGTTTCTTAAAAATTAAACATTTATATAATTTAGTAATCCCACTCTTTGGTATTTATCCATGAGAAATAAAAGTTTGCCTTCATACATCTGTAACACTAATGTTCATAGCAGCCCAATTCATAACAGCAAAAACTATAAACAACCCAACTACCCCTCAATGGCAACCCAATAAACAAACTGTGATGCATCCCCCAAATAGAATATTACTCAGCAATAAAAAGAATGAACTATTGGCCTAGCACAGTAGCTCACACCTGTAATTCCAGCAATTTGGGAGGCTGTGGGAGGACAGATTGAGGCCAGGAATTCAAGACCAATCTGGGCAACATAGTGAGACTGTGTCTCTATAATTTTTATTTTTTAGTTAGCCAGGCATGGTGGCATGTGCCTATAGTCCCAGCTACTCGGAAGGCTAGGGCAGGAGGATTGCTTGAGCCCAGGAGTTTCAGGCTGCAGTGACCTATGATCGCACCACTGTACTCCAGCCTGGGCAACAGAATGAGACCCAAGACCCTGACTCTTAAAAAAAAGAACTACTGACACACAAAATGATGAATTTTTAAATGCATTATGCTAAAGAAGGCAAACTCAAAAGGCTACTCACTATATGCACAAATCTTATCAACCCTTCAAGTCCCAGATTAAATGTTACTTCTTCCTTGTAGCCTTATCTGACTACCACCTCCCCACACCTACACAAAGACAAAAGTGACTTGACGTGTCTCTAAATTCCAAGCATTTTATCTATGTCTTGCTTACATTTATTGCCTTATTTTGTATGATAATATCGTGTCTCTGCAACTAACTGGAAGCACTAAATCTGACTCACCGTTGTTACACATAGCCTCCGGATCAATGCCTGATGCATGAGAAGTGTTCAGAAATTTTCTTTTTGAAGAATTAATGAAAAATGAAATGGCATAGGTGACTTTCATCAGATAAAGTTGGTGTGCACTCAGGAAGAATAATATAGCCTAGGAATCTTACTGATATTTCAGTTGAATAAATGAATGAATACCAAAGGACAGAGCAATCAGTGTTAGAAAGAAGTTCACTAAAGGGCTGTGGTACATGAGGACAGGAGGATGCTTGAAGGGAAAGTGGTATTTGACTTGAGACTCTCACTATGGGGTGAACTGTGTGTCACCTGGCCCCCTTCCACATTCATATGTTGACGTTCTAACCCCTCAGAATGTGGCTATACTTGGAGATGGAGTTTTTAAAGCGGTAATTAAGGCCAGGCAGGATGGCTCATGCCTTTAATCCTAGCACTCTGGGAGGCCAAGGCAGGAGGACTGGTTGAGGTCAGGAGTTTGAGAACAGCCTGAGCAAGAGTGAGAAACCTCATCTCTCTTTTAGTAGAAACCTCATCTCTACTAAAAACAGAAAAAATTAGCCAGACATGGTGATAAGTACCTGTAGTCCCAGCTATTCAGGAGGCTGAAACAGGAGGATGGCTTGAGTCCAGGAGTTTGAGGTTGCAGTGAGCTATGATTGAGCCACTGCATTCTAGCCTGGGCAACAGAGCAAGACCTATATCTTAAAAAAATGAATAAATAAAAATAAAGTGATAATTAAGGTGCAATGAGGTTGTATATGGCTGGGCCTTAATCCACTGTGACTGGTGTCCACATAAGAGATTAGGGCCCAGAGGTGGCTCATGCCTGCAACCCTAGCACTTTGGGAGGTCCAAGAGGGAAGATCACTTGAACCCAGTAGTTTGAGGCTGCAATGAGCTATGACTGAGCCATTGCACCTCAGCCTGGGCAACAGAGCAAGACAATGTCTAAGAAAAAAAGAAGAGATTAGGATGCACACACAGACGGAAGAGCACGCCCCAGTGGTGGCTTTCGGGTGCAGCAAACACTTGTTAATCAGAAAGTTACCTGTGTGTTTTAATGTAGGAAACTCCGGACCTACAGCGTGGCCCTCCAGTCAAAAGTTAGAGCATTGATTAGAACATGTAACGGGATCCTGATGATCCAGACTCAGAAACAGCACGTGCCCTTGGCTCTACATTCTGTGTAGACCCCACGTCCAGCCAGAGCGCAACGGTCTGCTCGCCCCTCTCCTTCCACCAAGCAAATCTTCCCACACTAACCACAGCGATACTTTTAAGGTGTAGGTCAGATCCCCTCTCCTCTGCTCAGATCCCTCCAGTGCCCCCAATGCAGTCCAAGCTCCCCGCCACGGTTCACGCACGCCTGGTGCCCCACTCCCCAGGCCTTCGGCTCCCTCTCCAGCCCTGAGCTTTGCTGCACCTAGGAGACAAAAAATCAGGCCCAAAAGGAGTCATGAGAATTCGCGCCTTTACACTGTCAAACAGCAGGGCCATTTCATTCGTTTGCTCAAGAAACCTTTCTGTAGCATCTTCTGTATCAGAGGCACAGGCATGGGCAGAAACAAACACCGTCCCTCCCCACTTGGGATTCATTCCAGTGTAGGGAACTAGCACATAGTCACAAATATGTAAGATAGCGACTGACTGGGAAACGCTACTAAAGAGAGTCACACGGTGCTATGAGAGTCTATGCAAGGAGGACATGACCAAGTCAGGGAGGAAAAGCCCCTTCCAGTGGTATTTCCAGGACAAGAAGCATGAACTAGGTGACAAGAGGGAGAGAACACCCACGGGCAGAGGGAAAAGCAAAGCAAGGGAAAGAGACCCCATGGCAGGAGGCAGGAGAGCCAGTATGTTCCTGCTGGGGAGAGGCTGGCAATGAGGAACACAAGAGGGCCCCGCTGAACACCCCTCACCTGCCCTGATCCCATCAAATCTGCCTAATCCTCCTTAGGGATGGTCCTGGAGATACCCAAATTGCAAAGCAGCCCAAGCCAGTGCACAAAA